CCCCCCCCCCCCCCCCCGGTCATTTTTACTCCCTAGCACACTCCTCCAATTGAAAGTCTTCAAAGCATTTTACCCGTTTCACTCCACGAGATTATAAGCTTCTTCAGGGCAAGACTCTGTCTAGCCAACTACCTGGCACATGTTTGGTACTAAATTTAAACGTGTTTTATTATAAATGAACCAAGCAATTTAAAACTAAAAACCCACAAAGAATATAAATATGTTTGCACAAAGTATTTTATTCATTCAACAAATACTAACACGATGTCAGGGACTATTAGAGACATTTGGGGTACAAGAGTGAGTAATAGGCACATTCCCAAGATCTTCACAAACCTGAAATCAAACAGAGAAGACAAAAAATGGGCAATTACAAAACACATATGGCAAGTGTTTGACTTGAATTGGGAGTGGGGTGGCTAGAGAAAGATCCCAGGAATATAATACTTAAACCAGTTCCAAAGGATAGTTAGCTAGTTTCTGAGGGTTTTCATGAAGCAGGAACTCTTATTCTAAGACTAAGACCAACTGTTTATGGCAAAGAAAAAGTAAATAAATCTACTATTGGATTACATGTGTAATTCAATAAATTAGATCACAATTCTGAGTTAATAACTTATTAGCAAATAAATGAAGAGCCATTCACAAAAAATATTTTTAGATATAAAAACAATAAGAATCTTTTTCATTGTTTTTCAATACTGAAATTGACCCTAAAAGTACCACAATATAGAAAGACAAAGAGAATTCATTCCTGGTATTTTTGTAAGGCGGTTCTTTTCCTCAACAAAATTTTGGGAGTATTTACTTCATGTAAGCAATGTGGCGGCTACTGGAGTAAATATCAAATATGGACTTTGTCTTCCTGGCACTTTTAAATTAATAGCTAAGGCAGCCATGTAACGTGCTATCCAAATTACAGAGAAGAACAAAGTGAGTTAAATAGGGGAACCAATAGGTTTTGGAGCATAAACTCTCTCTAATGAAGTTATATTCGTTTTGAGAATTATTATTCTGAGAGTACAAAGGAAAGCTTAACTGGGAAGAAGAGAAATATACTGGACCCTTAAAATGAGTAGAACTTTGTAAGGAAAAGGGGGTGAACCTCCTATTCTATAGGAATAGCTTGGTTATGATGTCATCAATTGTTCCAAAGAAACCTGACAACCGAGCCAGGAGTTTGGCACTCCCTCCCTCAGGCCCAGCACTCCTCCCGGAAGTTTTCCTTCACATGGAAATCACACTCCACTCCTCCAACACACTCTGAACAAGGCGCTCTTATTTACACAGCTTCCTTGGAACTTACTTTTTGCAGCATCTCATACTCACTTTAATCCTCTGTGACTTGCGTATCTCCCCCTTTAGACTCCCTCAAACATTTTACTATCGGTCCCCCAAAGCTTACAACAGTCCACTAAGCATTCACTTGGAGAAGAATAAACAGTGAATGCTGCCCGAGGAAGTAAAACTTATTAAAGAAAAAAATTATTAAAGAAATTACTTTATCAAAGTAATGAGGGCTATTCATGTCTTTTATAGCATATCTGCAAAAATACGTCCCAGGCTCAAGTCCTGTCTAGGTAACTGTGGTCAACGTGCCATACTTATTTCCACTGCAATGCTTACGGCGGCCTCCATGCCAAGGTGAACACCAGGAACCTCGCACACACTGGCATATGCCAGGCTGACTGTGCTGCAGCCCCCCAATGCGGCTCAGAGCGTTCGACAGCCCCCGGGACGGGAGGGAGGCGGGCAGACTGATGCTCTATAATAACCTACCCGGAGTGTTGACCATAAACAGCCACCAACATATCAAGCACATACATGCTCTGCACTCTACACAGCAACGGGTCTCCGTGCCTCTTCTGCACTCGGTCCAACTTGTCTCTAATTTGTTTGTATTATGCTTGGCGTGGCCCATAATTATCCACTGCCCAGAGATGCTGTGCTCATCCTAAACGAATTCCAACTTTTTTAAGCTCCTAGAGAACATTCATATACATTTTATTTCATTTTTTTAAGTCCCTAAGTCCTTTTAGAAGCCTTCTTTCTTCTATTACTGTTTTTTTCCCCCCATTCCCAAATGCATTTACATGGGGAATTTTCAACCAAGAATTAAGTATACACCTAACATCATCTAATCGACTTATTCTTTGGGTCTTTTTAATAGGTTATCTTTTCTGCCGTCCCCTAAGTTTCCAATTTAATTTGAAACTCGTGGAAAATAATCAGTTAGCTCAAGCCAGATTCTGCACTAAATATGTATGAAAACACAAAAAGATTTACCATGTAAAAGTTAACACCGTTAAAACAAAACAGTTGAATGTAAGCATTAAGTCAGTCAATCCGTGTGTTACAAATAAACAAGGTTTCCTGGGCATTTTTTTTCTGCCTTTTTTTAAAATTTATTTTCCCTTTATTGATTAAGATATTACAAATGTGTCCTTATCCCCCCAATGTCCCCTCATCCCCCAATCCTGCCCTCACCCTCACCCCCTGCTGTCCACATCCATCGCTTATGCTTATCCGCATCATACAAGTCCTTTGGTTGGTCTCTCCCGCTCACCCCCACCCTCGCCTGCCTTCCCTCTGAGTTCTGAGCATCTGATCGATGCTTCTCTGTCTCTACATCTGTTTTGTTCATCGGTTTATGTTGTTCATTATAATCCACAAATGAGTGAGAGCATGTGATATTTATCTTTCTCTGACTCCTGGGCATTTGTGAAAGGGGCTGGGGAGTGGGGAAAGGAGCTGGAAGCAGGCAGTGCGCGCCGGAGCTGGGAGGACACCGGGCAAGGGAGAGGCGGCGGCGCTCGCGCGTGTCAACACCGCCGGCCCGACCTGCCCGGAGTCCTTCCCGTCCGACGCGGCACTGCACCTCCCCTGCCCTGAAGAAGCTCAACCCCACGGGCAGGAATCACGACATAAAACCAGGCCATTCTCTGGCACGCAGACGGCCTATGATCTTCTCCACCTGAGCGACCTCGGAATTCCAGGCTGGCACCACTGTCGAGGAATAAACAGATCCGAGTGGATGCCAGTCAGCGGGGATGCCGGCGGACACGGGGACTGTGACATCGCGGCATAAGCTTGCCACCTACCTTCATCGTAGTTATAGCCTCGAACATTCCGATGCCGGGCCATGGCGGCGAAGAGGGCGTTCGCCACAGCGTCTTACAAAACACCCGCTCAGACACTGATCAGGCGCCATCTGCGGCCCGGAGAACACCTAGACGCCATTTTGGCTTCCGGCAGGCCTCTGCGCCGAGCGCCTGCGCACGCCGGACGTCCTGTCTGCGCACAGCGCGCGACGGCAACCTCTCAGGGTCACGGCCTCACAGGGAACGCATGCGCATTCGCGCAGATGGGAGGGTCCTTTAGGGCGTGGCCCCGCCTACAGGCAGGTTGACTGACAGGAGTTCCAAAGAGGCGGGATTCCACTGCTCACAGTTTGTTGATTTGGACCAACAGTTACTAGTGGACCAACAGTTACTAGAAGGTATCCGAGATTGTTTTCCAGATTTGGTTTCTGATAAACTAGTGAAAAAGCTGACTGAGTGCCAGCACTCTGTCTTATACAGCTCTCATCTTTGAGGACTACTTAGGCCCATAATAACCACTAACAAACTTGTGTATATACTTTTAAGAATTAACCCAAGCTTTAGAGGGAGTGGAAATGCTCTTTTTAAATTGATAATCTGACTACAATAAGTCACCAGGCTTTCATGTAATACGTGGTTTCGTGTGTATGAGTCTTGCATGAATACCTCTAGTAAACAATTATCTGGCCATATAAAGGATTATCTCCATGATTCTCTGAGCACTCATTAACAAACAACCCTGTGTAACATGCTAAGAGTATTAAGTATAGCTTTTTAGACATAACACATCTAGGGCCACTTGTGGTAATGCTGCATGTTGTTGATGAATAAATCTACAACCTATAATTAAATGTGCTCATTTCTTAGAACGCAAAGTGAATGATGGTATGTAAAAGACAATCTCATTATCTTACTGAACAAACTACACTTCAGTTTTAGCTTGAGTTTTTGAAATGGTGATACTTTAAAGACATAAAAGATAAGTCTCCAATTTTTGAAATAAAAGCTTAGTCAGCTTTTTATCATCCATAATAGAAAGAAATAAGAATAAAAATTCAATTCATATTCATAAGTGACTTGAAATGTAATTTATACATGCATTTGAATGTGTCTGACTACCAAATGTTTGTTCTGAACTATCATTGTGGTTTAATGTAGCTCTAAAACAAAATTTTACACAAAAATAGTTGCTAATTTTATATGGTTTAAGTGTTTTCTTTGTTATTTTACACTTTTAGATAATTTTTATCTTACAGTCTGTTTCTTTATAATTAAAACTAGGGGCCCAGTGCATGAATTCATGCACCTTGACAGGAACTGTGGGTCACGAGGCTGCAGTGGGCACAGGCCCATCCTCCGTGCCCCTCCCTGGCCTCTCCCACCATGGCCCTGGCCCCCTGCCAGCAGCCCCACTCCCACCACCGCTCCCACGTGCTGAGGGCGTAGGCCCTGCTCACACCCGCTGATGGTGCAGAGCGATGGGGCCTGTGTCAGCAGCAGGTGCGAGTGGCGGCTGCTGCCCCAATCACTCCCCAGGAGCAGGGGAGGTGGAGAAGCCCTGAGGGGAGATTAGGGCTGGTAGCCGCCGCTTGCACCCGCTGACGGCACCAAGCGATCGGGGCTGGCTTCGGGCACTGGCAGTGGGTGCGAGCGGCAGCTCTGGCACAGGCTGCGGTGCGAGCGGGCCTGGCACCGGCAGCAGGTGCGAGCGGTGGCTGCCAGCCCCAATCGCCCCTCAGGAGCAGGGGTAGGTGGACAAGCTCTGAGGGTTGATCGGGGCCAGCAGCCGCTGCTTGCATCCACTGACAGCACTGAGGGGCAGGTGCTAGGTGCTAGCAGCAGGTGCGAGTGCCTGGCGGGACCGCGGTGTGCAAGAGCAAAGAATTTTTAGTAACCAGCACCCCACCTTGGTCTGGTGCCCCCACTCACCTGCTCCACCATCCCGCCGCAGCCGATGCCTGCCATGTTCCACGCTCTGCCGCCTGCTGCCAATGCCTGCCATGTTCCATGCATGCCCCCTGGTGGTCAGCGCACGTCATAGTGACTGGTTGTTTGGTTGTTCCGCCGTTCGGTCTATTTGCATATTAGGGTTTTATATAGAGAGATGGGGAAGTAATAGTACATAACTCATAAAATTGTGAATAATAAATTTATCTATGTAAGTGAGTTCACACAAATCTTTAGGAGGTGCTTTAAATTTTCAGATGGTATTAAAATACAAATAGCACCCAGGCTGGTTTACCTACGTGGTTATAGCATTGGCCATGGACAGAAGGGTTGAGGGTTTGATTCCCAATCAAGGGTACTTACCTCAGTTTCAGGTTAGATCACAGGCCCAGGTTGGGGCACATGTGGGAGGCAATTAATCGATGTGTCTCTCTCAGGTCGATGTTTCTCTCTTTCTCTCTCTCTTTCTCTCTCTCCCCCTCCTCCCTTCCTTCCACTCTCTAAAAATCAATCAGAAAAAATTTCATTGGGTGAGGATTTAATGAAATAAAACACAAATGGCAACTTCCAGCCCATTCTAATTGTTAATTACAAACTTTAGTGTAACTCACTAAGGTATGCAGTAGATGAGTTATATAAATTGACTACACAAACAAAACTACAGGAGCAATAAAGAAAAAGAAAACACAATACTTCTGCCTTAGGGGTACTATACAATTTGCCTCTGATTCATCAATAGTGCACTCCCTTATAATTCTAAGTATTTGAGAGCCTTGATTACATCTCAAGCAAAATAAGGCTTCAGTAGCAAGGCCTTCACTGATTTCCAAATTTGGTTTCTGATAATCTAGTGAAAAAGCTGACTGTGTGCCCCTAGAGCTCTTGAGATGTGCTTATAAGTTTTGTATTGTGGTTTGATGGAAAGTACCATGGTTATGGAGTCACACAAACCTGGATTTCAGTACCTCTTCTGCCACTTTCTGTACGCTAATGTCTTTGGGCTCAATTTTTTCATCTGTAAAATGGATATAAGAAGATATGTCTTCTATTTTGTGAATAGTAAATGAAATGATGGATGTAAAAACAGTAGCTGGTACATAACAGGTCTATAAGGGAAGGAAAATTCTCTACCTGCTTTAGGCCTCCAACTGGGTCTAAGAAATAAACTGATATAAGACAAGTTAACAGGAAAAAAGAATACATGTTTAAAGTTTTACTGGTATATGGGAGCCTTCACAACATAATGAAGACCTGAAGAAGTGACCATAGCCGAAAGCTCTTATACCTCTGGTTCAAAGAAACAGTCAATTTATGAAGAATTGATGAGATAGTGGGGATTGGGCATAGGTAATAAATTATGGGAAAGTAAGTAGAATATATATGGTGTGGATGGTGGTGGCAAAACTGCTAGAAGATAAGGGATATTTCAGTAACTTTGTGGTGGTCATTTTGCAATACATACAAATATCAAATCCTTATGTTGTACACCTAAAACTAATACAGTGTCATATGTCAATTATATCTCAATAAAATATTAGGAACTTCTATTCATCAAAAGACAACATTAAGAAATTATGAAGGCAAGTTTCAGCCCAGAAGAAGATACATGCAGCACATATATCTCGCAAGAACTCATATGTAAATTAAGTCCTATAACTTAAATTAGTTCTATAACTCTCTGTCTGGCCTAATGATATTCTTACCCTCCTCTATGGAATTTCCCTTGACTTTCTTCACATATTATTCATTTTTTCCCCTCTTCTTTCTTTATTTTTATTTTATTTAAGGCAGAAATTTAGCTGAGTGAAAATTGGCAAGAGCCAGAGAACAGGTCCTTTATCAAGACCAAGCTTTGCTCCCAAGGGGCTTGGGGCTGTCCAGGACTCCAGGCTTGGCAGAAGCCATGACAGCATAACTAAACAAACAAGGAGGTATTCAGGGAAGCTGAAACCGGATCTTCAAAGAAGATTCAGTGGGTGATTTTTAATTTCTGTGTAGCATTATAGAGCTGAATGCAGAACATATCAAAAACTTGGAAAGGCACTGGTAAGGTCATGAACTTCATAAAACAGAAAGATTCTTGAGAAGAAAAAAAATAGAAGTCAAGAGTTTTATATTTAGATATGACTACTACTTGGGAAATACCAGCAAAGCAATAATGCCTGGGCAAAACCATCTTCCTCCGCAGGAGAGCCTTTTAACCACCAATCCAGGGCTATTTGGCTGTCAAGCACTTTATTATGAAATATAATAATAAAATAAATATGGTTCAGGAGTTCTTTAAAAGATCCACTTTTCAAAGGTTCGTGTTGTTGCAGTTTAAAATCTTTCAATGGAGCCACATTACTAATGAAGTAAGTCCAAACCCTTAGAAAGGCATAGGAGGCCATTGTGATCTCACTCCTGCCTGATTTCCCATCTTACCTTCCACCACTCCACCACCCTACCTGAGTTACTCTATGGCATAACTCCTACTTTTAGGGTTTCAAGTCCAGCCATGCTCTTCCTGCCCTTTACTTCTCCAAAAAATTAAAAATAGAACTGCCTAATGACCCAGTGATCCCACTTCAGGAAATATATCTGAAGAAACCCACAAGATTAATTTGAAAGAATATGTGCACCCCTATGTTCATTACAGCGTTATTTATAATAGCCAAGCTTTGGAAGCAGCCCAAGTGCCCATCAGTAGATGAGTGGATAAAAAAGCAGTGGTAGATTTACAGAATCGAATACTACTCAGCAATAAAAAAGAAGGAAATCTTACCTTTTGCAACAGCCTGGATAGACCTGGAGAGTATATTATGCCACCAGAAATAAGCCAGTCAAAGACAAGTACTATATGATTTCACTTACATGTGGAATCTACTTAACAAAATAAACTAACAAACAAAATAGAAACAAACTCATAGATACAAAGAATAGACTGACAGCTGTCAGAGGTGAAGGGGGGTGGGGGGCTAGATGGAAAAGGCAAAGGAATTAAGAGGGGGGAAAGCTGGGTGATTTTTTTAAAAGTCTCTTTGTTGTAGGGAAAGTCAAAGTGAAGAGAGACAACGGTCTTAACCAATTAGGTTAAATATTTCAGTTTTGAAATTTTACAAGAACTTATGAATATGTGAATGAACTAATAGGGCCTTTCCCAAAGCCCAGAACGGAGCCCATGGACGTCAGGAACCCTAATGCTTACTCTGATTAATTTCATGGTAAGTTTGCCTGTTTCCCCTCACATTTGTATAGTTTTTTCAAGAAACATTTTTAAATCTATTATGTACCTAATATCATGGAATAACAGGTAAATTTATCATTTGGGTGAGTTCAGATTTCTTGAAAACCTCCTTT